TCTCTCTCTCTCTCACACACACACACACACACACACACACACACCACCTACCCTGTAGCAAGTCTCCAGTGCACATTACATTATTGGTTAATATTTTAAAGCTACTTGTGTTTTGTCTCTGCTCTGTTACCAGCCAGTAAAGACATCTTCTGGTTATTAAAGTCAACCTAAAATTTCAGCAAAAAGAAGTAAGTGGGAAATCACAAACTGAAACTAAGATGTGATTGATTTCTGGTAAGTAAGATTCATTGATATTTTGACTGTTCTAGAAGATAAAGATCTGCAGTGCCATCGCATGTAACCCTCAACCACAGGCCACCTCTGGGTGACTCAGATCTTCTAGTGGACTATGACTGCAGCCCTTGGGCAGGCTCCTTGCTCAATGAAAGGGCGAGCTCCGAGCCCTCAGCTCAAAATACCATTGGATGGCTGAAAGTACCAGTTGCTTTCAAGCTGCTTTCTAAATCCAGCCCTGGGCTTTTCTGGTTTCACTTAGGGACCCAGTGGTGCCCCCAACACACACTTAATCCTCACTGTGCTGTGGAAGACCACAGAGTGACATGTGGGTAACCTCACCAGAGACAATGCAACAGCCGTGCTGCCCAGCAGAGGTCACAGCAGAAACCTCAGCAGATGCTAAGGTTGTTTGAAAATTATAATTTTATTTAAATGATCATTCTTTAGAAATGTCTATGTGGAAGTAATTTAACTTGAGAAAGTCAAGCAAATGTCACTGCTGATGAAACAGCCCGAAACCACAGTGGGATTGGCTCTGGACATGACGCTGGTGAAACCTCAGGGTGAGGTCTGATCCTTGCTCGGGGCAGCGATCAGGCACTTGCTTTGGTAACTAATACAGATTATTTCTAAGTAGAGAATTTTTGCAGATCACATGACAACGCACCTGCTAAAGAAACCCTTCTGATCAAATTAAGGAGTCAACTCTGTCGGTGGAAATAGAAGTTGATAAAATCTTGGCAGCTGTGGTGGTAAGTTCAATGTTACGTGCTACCTTGGCATTTGGAAAAATTAAGAAGGCCTCACCATGCCTAGCCTAACAGCAAGTTCCCCTAATCCCCACATTATATTTAAGATCTCCCAGCCAGATAACCCCCCTGAGCAAGGAGGTTAGGCAGAGCTCTTGTTCATCCTCAGCACAGTAGTTTGCAAAAATTATCCACACAACTCAGTCACATCTTCCTTGAGAACCAGGGTCACCTCAGTCTCCTGCCTGCGCCCTTCAGTCCCTGCTGATTTGCTCTGCTCCCTGGTGCAGCCCCCACATGGCCCAGGGTGTTATGTGATGTACTCCAGTGAGTACACTGTCTAATGACCTGCTGTCAGTCTCATCTGTACAATTTCATATATCATGATTTTATCCATCTCCACATGTCTAGGGTGATAACTTCTCATCTATCAATGGGGTGAATAGAAAAGGATTAAAATGGTGACATGTATTGAGTTTTTAAATCTACATACTGATTAACCTGGAAATTTCATTTCTAAGAAAATATGGTTTAAAAGTAGCCCCAACTTGGGGCTGGAGAGGTAGCTCAATGGTTAAGAGCACTGACTGCTCTTGCAGAGGACCCGGGTTCAATTCCCAGCACCCACATGGCAGCTATGAACCGTCTTTAACTCCAGTTCCAGGGGAATCCAAAGCCCTCTTCTGACCTCCACAGCATTGTGTGACACAGGTGCACTCACATACATGCAGGCAATACACTCATACACATAAAATAGGAATAATAAATAAAATATTTTTAAAGTATCCCTAAATGACAAAACAGAGCCAGGAAGAAACAAGAACATTCAATGCAGAATTATTTATAAAAACCAAACAATGAGAGACCACCTAAATAACCATCCATGGAAGAAATTGTGAAATAAATTGTAAGTCAATGTAATCTATAAAATACTATGTAACAGCTGAGAAGACACAGACAGGGTCCTAAGATTGGTCATATCTAAGCAATGCACATAATACAATCCCTTAATATTTGTAAAAATAATAAGCATATATATGTATGCATGTGGTACAGGCTGGAAGGAAAAAGTCCAGATGGGTTAAAGCGGTTGCTTGTTGCATAAAGAGTAAGAAGAAGGCAAGTAGCACCTTTGTGTTTACGGTTCATAGCTTTGTACTATTTGAATCTGCTACAATGAAATGTATTATGGTATTACCTATGTTCAGGAATATAAATTTAGAGTAATAAACTTATATAAAAGTATGCATAAATGTCTTGTAGACTAACAACTAGTGAATGCTGTGATTTCTAGTGAAATTGATCAATCAGATTGGCTTGTCCTGAATATTGCAGTACCCCAGCCTGCCAACACTTCCGGGCCTTGATATTGTCTTGATTTAACCTGTCCATCCTCCTCAGCTTCTTCCCAGAGGGCTCCTAAGCAGAGAGCCCTCATTTTATTTCCTGTACACCACCATTGAATGCTATACAAGGTGAAGCATTTCTACAATTCCTAGGCCATCTCTTTTGTGACCAGTGTCTTTAACTTCATTTAGTGTCACATGTTAAATACACAAATACATATATACATATATTATATACATATATGTGAATAAAAACAAAAGCTATTGCTTTTGCCAATAGGAATGCCTAGAATGGCCATTAGTGATGGTTTCTACATGCTAAGTACAAAAATACCTAAATTTAACTAAAGAATGAATTACTGTCTGTTCATTCTCTCTCTTTTAGGACACAAATGAGCAGTTAGGTATATAATGTGGATCCTTTAGCAATGTTACCAGAAGTTGGGAAACTGCATGGCCTGAAGGTAAGCTTGCTTTGTCAGATCTGGTCTTTACAACCCTGAGGAGATGCCTCTTGGTCCCCACCACAGCCCCACCCTCTGGGACTGCACCACACAGCTCACCACACTGATGCCATCATTGAGCAAGGCTTCGCCAAAGATCATCATGTAGAGCTGCTCATTCACACGCGCCTCCTCGAACACGGCCAGGACCGCAACAGGGTCCACAGCTGAGATCAGGCTGCCAAACAACAGGTTCTGCAGCAGGTTGATGTCACTGAGGCCAAAGGCCTTGATCTGGCAGATGAAGAAGAGGGAGAGGCCAATGCCAAAGGCGTTGATCAGGGCCCCCAGGCCTGCCCACCACAGGATGGAGCCGATGTTCTCAAAGAAGGGTCGTGTGGGCATGAAGTAGCCACTCTCCAGCACAATGGGTGGAAGGAGATAGAGGAAGTAGATGCTTGAATCCATGACCGGAGGTGATTTGTGGTGGGTACCAAAGATGATACTGCCCACCAGTGCCCCTACAATAATGAGAAGGCAACTTTCCGGCATGAGATGGGGCAGTCGGTGGTAAAGATGGAAACCTGGGGAAGAAAGTAGACAGCACATAATCTTTGCAAATGAAATGGGGGTCTTTTAAAGTCAAGAGGATGAGACTGTAGGCAAGCTGGCTGGCATCTTTGAGCTCAGCATACCATCTGCTGCAGTAACTCTCAGTGTGGGGTTTCAAATAAGATTACGTACTCCCTGCCTGCTGGTCCCTCTCTTTTCCTGATTCTGGCTTTCTCCATCTTACTGGGATCTGACAAGGCATGTGAGGAAAAGGAGAGAAAAATGTGAAATTTCTGCCCTCAGGCAAAGTCCAGTTCATCGCCCCTGTGGAGTCTGACAGGCTTATAGGCCTCTTGTTCCCCAAACTTATTTCATGCCTTTCTTCTCCAAGAAAGTCACAAAATGTCAGAGGTTCTGCCTCGGTTTAAGAAGCTGGCTTCTACACTGCATATATCTGATTGTCTCAGCACCTGAGACTTGGAAGGCACTCAAAGCATGTTGTGGATTTTAAACTAAAGGCATTTATTGAGTACCCCTCTGCAAAGAATAGCCTACTATTAAGTTTTGTGAGATGGAAAGCCAAAGATGTGAACTATACTATAACTCCCACTGATGACAGTTTTAGCAGTAAGACATGAATAAATGAGAAGACAGAAATAATGTGGCATCTGAGGCTCATTGAATATACTAGAAACGCAAAAGACATTAGAGCTAGGTGGACAACCATGGTGTTTCCCAGGTCACACAACCTGCCAAGCTTATGCATTCAATCAAATGTCTTTTCAGTTAGATTTCCTTTACTGCTTCCATTATCACTACCTGAATAGTCCTTTTTAAATATTTTACTGTTTTAATTTTATGTGTGTGCATGTATTAACTGTACATAGGTAAGTGCACCCATGTCGTGCAATACCTGTGGAGGACAAAAGAGGCTGCTATCCCCTGGAACTGGAGTTACAGACAGTTGTTAGCTGCCATGTGGGTGCTGGGATTTGAACCTGGGTCTTCTGCAAGAATAGCCAGTGTTCTTAACCACTGAGCCATCCCTCCGGCCTCTGAATAGTCTTTTTCCTATGTCTTAAAGTCCTGCTCAGAATTTAAAGCTAAGTTTTCCCTAGTCTCTGCCAGAGGAAATGATAGGACTTTCTTGAAATTATTAAAGCAGTTTATCTGTGAAATACCTCTTTAATAACAATGATTCTTACCTACTTATCTATGATTTTTTTGTGTGTATGACATACCTCATACTAGTCTGTAAATTTCCTAAACTCAAGTAGATGATTTACATGTTTACATTGATTAGCAAAATGCCTTTTCTACAACTGTGTCTGTGTAGCAGCTAAAAGTGAATGAATAATGGGCTAAATGTTCAACAGAGACACTTTTTACATGAGAAGAAACAGAGTTTGGGAATGGCTAAGATTCATATAGTTGGATAACAATGAGAAGATGGAAGATGATTTTGTACCACATAATGAAGAACTTGTCTTTAGAGCTAACTAAGGTAGAATTCCTCCCATAGGATATGGGGAACAAGTAATCATCTCCTTGGGAAAGTCTATGTTCAGCTATGTACAGAGGATATGGATTTCCCAGACATGCAGGCAGATTTGTACAACTGAGCATAATCATCACGAAAGGACATTGCCCATATTCTGATGGTGACTTCCTGAGTGTCAAGACCATATCAAAGCCTTCTAAAGCTCTGGCTTCTCAGTTTTCTAATTACAACTTTTTTGGCCTCCATCTTTTCCTTAGCTCCCCCTTTTTTTTTTCCTTCAATTAGTGTTCATTTTAACCAAACTTACTTTTTCTTAATAGGTCATAGAAGCGGAAGGGCCTGCAGTGTGACTTTCAGATTCACCAGTCTGACCCTGTTTCCAGGAATGGAGGTTCCTGAAATGGATCTAACATCGACCTGCCTTAAGCCAAAATGACAGTAAGAGCTGTGGCAGGAAGACACTGCATGTTCATGCATACAGCATTACATGGGAAGCAGTCCAAGCTGTCACATTCTATTCATGAAGGACAGGAGAGGCAGTCACGTTGAAATTTTATAGATCCAATGCTTAAAACTGAAACGGAAACAAAGGACAAAGTCTCTGAACATGGAAGATGAGCCTACTGTACTCTTCTTCCTTATGAAGTTCAAGGAACATTTTTCTATGATGTTCCAAGAAATGGAACAGAGCTAAAAGGTAACTCACAAAGTCAGAAGTGACTTTAACTTTTTGGTTTTATATATCTGTGCTTTACAATTTTATAGTTAGATATTCCAAAGGAATGGGAAAGATTTTGATGTTTTTCTGTTAAAGTGCCTACCAGTGAGTTCTAGGCTAACCTTTGTTTCCCTATTAAACTAAACCTTAAAGTCCTACCTGGTTATTTCCAAGTATTACATGACTATACAGTAAATCTGTCAGACTGAATGAAAAATAAATAATAAATGATAATTCTTATAATTATGTTATCATTTGGGTTTTATTACCTAAATACCCATAGGCATTCCTTAAGTGTTAAAGCTTATAAATTATCGTCATTACCATCATCTACTATTATTTTGCTCTTAGTAAATGACCCATCATATTACATACAACTTCCAGCCCAATACTTGGCACATAGTATGTGTTTAGTAAATATGTTTCGTTTTCTCTTCACTTCTCATATCCATATGGAATATAGAATTATATAGATTCCTGAACACTATCAAATATGAAATCATACTTGAATAGACCTGTCCTAACTGATAACTTGTTCAAGCAATTTTCCATTCCTAAAGAATATTGAATTACACCAACACAAAAATCAAGAACACTTACCCAAGCTTCCCATGTGCAGCATTTCCTGATAGTGAATCTGAGCATATGCCATATCTTTAGACAACAAGCTATGCTTTATGCAAATAGATAGCTAAAATAAAATGGACCCTTCTCTGCTTCGAAATGTCTCCTGATAGACAAAGTGGCCAGCTTGTCAGCAACAGATCCAAGTATCCAGACCAACTTTAGCCAATACTGAGACGTGGAAGGAGAATTGCAGGAGGGGTATCAGAGGAGGCAAATAATCTCCCCACAGTTTACACAGTTTACAAAGGGACGCTAGAGTACCATGGGAGACAGTTTGAACATTCTCAGTGTCCATTTGGCTACATGAAAGGTATTAAGCCCTAGTCTGAACTAAGATACTATTCATTTAGAAAACCAGTTTTACTCTAACGCTTTTCCAAAATAATGTGTGCTTTGTGTGAGTTAGTCACTTAACAACTTGCAAGAGATTTCTTCAAATCAGCTATTCCCATTCCATCTTCAGACTTTGGTAGTTCAAAATTATAGCTGTGCCCCTTAGCCACAGAGAGGAGTTGGATGGATAGAAAAGAGCTCATAGATGTAAACTGCAGACCACACATGACTCAATCCATGTTTCAAATTTATCAGAGAGAGTGAAATATATACATATGTATGAACATAAAAAATATTCCAGAGCTTCTACATTACTAAGGCAATCACTGCACCAAATTATGTAAGGTTTATCATCTACAGAGGCAAAGGAAATGTTATGTTTAGTAACTGAGATGATTGTATGGATTTTCTACTTTGAAATAAGCTGCACTTAGGATTAGTCACAGAATGTGAACTATCACTTTAGCTTCTGGACAAAGACACTTGATTGGAATTCAATCCATTCACTTTAGTTCACACAAAAAAGACAAAAACAAAACAAACAAAACAAAACAAACAAACAAACAAAAAACCAGAGGTGGCACATTCGCTCCAGGTGAGTTAGGTGAAAGCCATTATTTCGCCAACAGCTCTCATCTCATGTACCTCACATCCCATCGCTGGGGAGTGTAGGAGTTGCCCCGTGCCTATCTTGCTCCTTCCTTCTGTCACTTTACAAGACACACAAGCCACTTATAAAGAATAAACAATGAGAACTGTTGACAAATTCCTGTTACACGACTGGAAATGAAGGAAGAATATTTTATAAAAGAAATACTATTCCATTCCTGGAAATTCCTGAGGTCCTCATGCTTTACACTATTTAAAAAAAAAAATTTTTTTTTTTTGGTTTTTTTGAGACAGAGTCTCCCTGTAGCCCCAGCTGTCCTGGAACTCACTATGTAGACCAGGCTGGCCTTGAACTCACAGAGATCCACCTGCCTCTGCCTCCCGAATGCTGGGATTAAAGGCGTGTGCCACCAGGCCTGGCTGAAAAAATGTTTCTTATTGATTGGGAATGTCATACACTGCAATTTTAACATATTCAGACCCCCTCCCCCTTCACTACACTCCCTCTGCACTTCATGTCCTGTGTTATGTGCTTTTCTGTTTTTAAAGGCCTATCAAGTCTAATTATGTTTCCTAAATGCTCTTGGGTGTGGATCTGTCCCTTGGAGTCGGGTCGCTGTTTTTTTAAAGCACAGAACAGGAGAGTTTTATACAACGGTATTTCACATGGTTGTCATTTTTATCAAAACATTGTTGTTGAAACAACACAAGACGCAGAAATATGCTTTTAAATTTCAAACCACAATCCTGAAGCATTAAACATATTTTAATGCAATAGCAGTAACAGTTAAAATCTACTTAATACATAATCTGTTTACAAGGTATTTTTATATATGTTACCTCATGTAAGAAACAATCCCACCAAACAGGTCTTTGAGAACTTACCAATTTTTGCAAGAGATGCTAGAAGTATCCAGAGGGTGACCTCATACGGAATTTGCACATAATCATAATCCAGTTCAAAAACAGAAATCCTTTCATCTGGGTCTGAGCTAGAAGCTGCAAACCGAGCATCAGGTGCCTGCTGGGCAGTGGAATTTGAAGACTCATTTGCATCAGATGATGCTTCAGCACACGTGAAGACCACCAGTAACAGCAATGAGTTCCAAGAACGAAAAGCCACAAGCGTCTCAGAACCCATGCTTGTGGGCTTCTCTTACTGCACACCTGGGTGCTGGTGTGTGCCATGCATATGAGGGGGAGCCGGTTTTTAGTTGCATCACCTGAGTCAGAGGTAATATACATGCAGTTCAGAAGTCATTCCAAAATGAGTCCAGGGACGTGATGATTCTGCATGTACTTGCTTTCCAGCTCTTTAAATCAGCTGCGTTCAGGTAGCTCAGCTTCGGGCTTAAATGTAGTCATCCAATGGAGCTACCTGTAGGACCTTCATTCTATCGTGACTCGAAGGCAAATCTATGAAAGGGAAATCCTTCTTCATTCAAAGCTGATTCCTCACTCACTGAACACTGGTTTCATTTTGTGGGTGTAAACTGGAAAGGACATTCATTCCATGTACCACGGGAGTCTTAATAAGGAAGGAATCCTTCCTGCCCTATCAGATCCCAGGAAGGTGCTACCTGGCCTGCACCTGTTCCTTCTCTCCTCCCCCTGCTCTCTCACTTGTTCTGAATGGGCATGGCTTCAGGTAGCTCTTAAACCACACTTAATTATTTGCTTTAATTTGACTTCTGTTATGAAATGCTTGCTCTGAACGTTCTTGGCAGGCTACACTACTGACACCTAGTGGGCACCCGCAATATGACATCCTTTGCAAGTTAGAGATAAAAACATTTATTGACGTAGTAAACAGCCTAACCAAAGTGCTTTTGAGACTGAAGAAGAGTTATAATTATGAGAAACTATAGGAGTAAAATAGGACTGTTCTAGAAAACGTGCCAAATGACTTTCATAAATCGAGGATGGTTGCTGGTGTCAGTGTAGCACATTACAGGACGTTCGGGCAATACTGCAAGGAAAAAACAAAGTTTCTACTCTCCAAAAACTTCACAGAAAGTTTCTGTTAAAGGGAGAAACCAAATAACAAGCTGCATAAGTGTATCTGAAAACCCAGATATGAAGAACTTCAGAGAATATCCAAATCGTTCCTTTTTAATCACTTTGTTATGTGATCTATTGTGCAAAAGAAACCACAACACAGTGTTTAAAGGATTCTGAATCAAAGCTGCAGCATTATCTCTAGCTCTGCATCTGCTCAGGTGAGCTTTACCAGGTTCTTGACTAAGGTTCTTTATCTGGAAGGGGGGGGCGGTAATTATCTTCATTTCATGGAGTGGGAAGAAACATTAAATGAGTCAGCGGAAGTGAAGCATTTGGGAAGTGATGGATAAGGCAGGACAGAGAGCCAGGGAGAACTGAGGGGACAGGAGGAAAAAAAGAACCCCTCACTTTAGGATCAGTTTTCTTTTTCTGATGACTGGAAGTTTAAAAAAATTAACACAATTGATAAAGCCAAAACTGCTGACGGAGAGGGAAAACAAAAAGCATGTTTTCCTAAAGGCAACTCAAAAACGGTGCTTAAAGCAACGAATGAACCACTGAGAGTCACCCTGTGTAGCTTTGAGTTCTACCATGTTAGCACTCCTCCCTGTCTCATGCTCATGATAACATAGCAGTAGGCTGGAATTAAAAAATGGTAAAGGATGGTGAAGTTTTACATCTAACCTCTACATAGGCTTTGAAGTAAGAAACACTTGAAAATAGAAACATTTTAGAAAAATGAGAGGGTCAATCTATCAGGAAGATATATTACAATTAAAGGCATGGATGGTCAAAAGAAGATGAATCACAGGAAAGTTTGGACTAATATGCAAATCATTTAATATAATGAATTAAAGATCAAAATCATATAACCATTTGATAGACCGAGAAAATGTATTTGATCAACACCTTTTCGTTTTAAAAGCAGTCTACAAATTAGTAATAGAGAGAGATTCCTCGATATGATAAAATTCAGAGTCAACAACTTATTAGTAAAAGACTAAACTCAGTTTCCTGATCTTGTCACTATTATTCAAATTCCACTATAGGTTCCATCCAGGACAATTATTAAATATAGAAAAATATAGCCAGGTTAGAAGATTTGAGAAGGTAAAATGATTTCTATGTGCATATGATATATCTTTTATGGAAAAATTATTAATTATTGACAAAATCTGTTAAATCTAATAAATTAATTCATTACCACAGTTATTAGAACTAGATCTTGGGCCCTTGTAGCCTTAACATTTGAGACTCAGCCACCTGTTCTCACTAGGCCAATTATATTAGTAATAGAGAAAAAATAGAGAAAGGAGATTTATTCACTGTGGCCATGTTGAGGAAAAGAACAAAGGGGTTCAGTAACATCCCCCCCCGCACTGTACCCATTAAGTCCATTTTCTGGGCTTCTGACATGAGGTTTGCTTCAAGTAGAGAGCAATGTGTGTATACTTACCTATATAGTCCCATTAAGGTGCTGTCCTACCATCATAGGCCAGCAATTGTCTCCACTCCAGACTTTCCTGGAAGGTGGTCTGACGTAAAATCTGTTTCCTGGAGACAAGTTCCTCCTCTGACTGGCACCAAACTTCAGCTTTTTCCTTCTGCCTATATGAAATTTCTGGGGAAATTGCAAATTTTTTGTGATAATTGTTTCAATAGTCTGATAGCAAAGGAACAGGCACAAATGTCTCTTAAAAATTCCTTCATACCTGCCACACTTTGCTTTCATAATCTTGAGGTGAAATATGATCGAGTTTGAAACAAATAAATAGCGCAGACCCAAGATTGGAAGACTTTCAGGTAGCCTCAAGAAACAGTGTCTAGGAACCATTTCTCCACAGCATCTTGGCTTTAGTTGCCTGGGAGGGCTGGGCATGAGTGACTTCATTTTTGTTGTTGGCTGTAAGACAGTATTTCACTATATCCCAGGCTGCTTTCAACCAAAGAATTCCTGTTTCTGCCCCCAGGTGCTGAGATTACAGACAAGCACTACCCTCCAAAGTGATTTCATTTCAAGTTTGACAACCTCCCCCTCTGTCCCTGAACAATGCTCTTGGAATACTTGGAATACACCATTGGTTAGCCATCTAGTGGTTTGATCTTGATTGTCCTTTGTTGCAGGGATGAAATTTGTCCTGCTTAGTCTGATCTGATCCATATTGGGGGATAGTGATAAGTGGTAAGGAGTTAGTGCCAGTAGTCTCTTTATGGCCAAATTTAAGCACCTAAGGTATAAAAGGCATGACTCCTTAGGCCAGCCTACCTGGAGCCCAATCTTTGAATTTTAATTCTTTCTTCACGTTGATGATGTCCTAGCCACTGTAGCTAGTCTGGCAGGGATGGAGATATTCTAAAGAGACTTTACCTCTCACTTTGGCAATCAGTTTATTGAAACAATGGACCCCCCACCCCAAATCCAGGATGCCCCAGGAATCACATGCTGGGAGAAGAGAAAGTTTAAAGGCTGGGTCAGCCAGAGGGACTTGTCAGGCCACCTCGCTGAAGGGATTAAAGCACAGGCAATGGTAGCAGGACTCTGACATAGACTACAGAAATGCATAACTCTGACCTCTACTTAAACCTTAACTTTACTTAAGAACCCCTAAGGGGTAGCTGGATCTCTTTGCTCCTCTCTCCAAGGAGGCCACATTAAATCTCCTTTTGCTGCTTTTTCCTATTGGTTTGACTGAATTCATTGGCTTATGGAGGACAGGTGGCCCAACCTGGCTTGTTGGGGCACAGGCTATAATCGCAGGTCTGGTAACACTAGCAACTAAAAAATACTGCTCAGGTTCTTTTGACAGAAGCTATACACCCTCAGAATACTAGCAGACAACAGTTACAAAGTGTTACAAAAACAACCAACAAAAACAAATATTCAAAGAAAGCTAATTTGTAAATTAAGCATTTGTTTATAAATGCACGTCATAGATGACCAATGGCCAATACCTTTTAATCATCAGGAGGCAATGCTTGGAGTCATTTTCATAGAATGGCTAAAATGGTTTCTGGAACATAGGAAACACTAAGTAATAATTGTTTTTGGAAAGGAGGAGGGACAGAATGGGAGGGAAATGGCCTCCGTTCATTCAGAAAATGTAATGGTGCTTATCCTGGAGATAACAGGAAGGGTTCAGAGGGCACAGAAAGAAAGTGGGATGTTTAGAGAACACATTTAGGCTGAGCAGGTTTCCCTGCCTAGCATCAAGAGGATACAGATTTTTAGGGAAGGCCAGAGCAGTTAATAATAGTGAACCTCAGGGGCTAGAGAGGTAGCTTATTTATTAAGAGCATTGATTGCTCTTGCAGAGGACCTGGGGTCGATTCCCAGCACCTACATGATGACTAACAGCCATCTGTAACTCCAGTTTCAGGGGATCCAATGCCCTCTTCTGACCTCCGTGGCCATTGCATGACATGGATGCACCTACCTATATGCAGGCATTATACTCATACACATAAAATTAAAAATTAATAAATAATTTAAAAATACTCTCATTGATTAATTTCAGCTAAATTAATCTTGATATAGCTATATAGTAATAAAACCCAAAATATAATTTTCAGTTAACCCAAATTCTTGGGCATAATAGTATTCTGGGTCCTTTCCAGTCTATGTTTATGCATAGAAAGAAGCTCCTGAAAGGCCAAGTGTACTAGCTACTTTTCTCACTGTGTCAAATGACAACAAGAAATTCAAAGGCAGAAAGATAGATTTGGGACACATTGTATTGGAACTGGCCTAAGAAGAATGAAGACATTCCAAGGAGACACGTGTGTCCCTCACTTTTGGTTCTCAGACTATGGATCCCAAGAAACTGAAATTTCCTGAGGAATCTCAGGTTAGAAGAAGTGCAAAGTTTGGGCCAGTCAGATGTAAACTTTTCTCCCCAAAAGAAATTTACAATTTGTCAGACCACCTTACAGGAGAGGCAATGATGGCTCAGTGGTGGACAGAGCCACCCCTTGATGGGGACTATTTGGATACGTACAACTCCAGCCTTCTAGTTAAACCTTAACCTCACTTCAGGACCCCACAGGGGCGCTTGGGGATCACTGGGACTACTTGTCTTTCTTCTCAACGTGGCCACATCTAAAAGATCTCTTTGTTTCTGATTTCAGTATTAATTGGGCTATTTTAATTGGGTTATCAAGGATAAGAGACTGTACCTGGCTTGCTGGGGGCACAGGCTGTGATGCTAAGTCCCACAACAATATGGAAAATACTGTCGGGGAAGGCATGGTGGCAAGTGCATGAGGCAGCTGATCATGTCCCTACAGTCAGGAAACAGAAAGAGATAAATGTTGATGCCCAGCTATTTTATTCAATCTGGCAGTCAAGTCCATGGGATGATACCACTCACCACTC